AGCACAGCTCTGTTTTGACATCGGCTTGTCAGATAAAGTTATCTTACCACCGTCAATGGTGGATCAATTTGGCGGATTAACTCACGTAATTTTTTACACTCGCGTTTGTCATTCCTGAAACAGTATACGTGGACCGTTTGGTCCTCTTAAACTTTTCTTCAAACTGTGACTGAAGAGATGCTTGTGATTGGCTACAATACTCAACACTGCAAAACACATTATAAATAGAAACTTTTGGTTTTGTGATTCGAAAAGCAGAGCGCGCACACAAAAACACACAGGAGAGTTTGAAAGCGGGTGACTTCGAGCGGGTACAGAATTGAGTTGATACTACTGTCTGGAACTGTAAAAAGACCCCCGGCGCATCTTGCCCGGTACCACCTAGTCTATTGCAGCCTATATTAATACCTGCTAAACACTACATAATATGCTGCTGCTAAGTGCAACCCTAGCTAACCTGTTTCCCAGTAACCATATTAGTAATTGGACTATTACCAGTAATTAATCTAGCAAATAATTAAATGAAAATAAGCTGGAATTAACAACGAAATCATTTGATTGATCCTTTAGTCAGTCAATCTTATCTCCATCATTTACCGCTGTCATATTTCCTCTTTTCCTCCTCTTCTTGCTTTTTTCTGTTTCTGGCTGCCAGACGGATAAGTCCTCTTCATGTTTAAATTAGCAAATGCACAAGTAAGCGCTGTGCCAGTTTGAAAATGGCGGCCGACGCATCACAAGGAAAAAGCAAGCACATCCAGCGTAACGCAAGAGGGGGCTCCCTAGGGGGGATACAGATGTAATAAAGTAAAGTGATGTGACCAAGTATGGTGACCCATACTCAGAATTAGTGCTCTGCATTTATCCCATCCAAAGTGCACACACACAGCAGTGAACACACACCCGGAGCAGTGGGCAGCCATTTTTTTGATGCAGTTGGGGGTTCGGTGCCTTGCTCAAGGACACCTCAGTCGTGGTATTGAAGGTACAATCTCTGCCGGTACGAGACTCGAACCCACAACCTTGGGTTACGAGTCCGACTCTCTAACCATTAGGCCACGACTTCCCCATGCTCCATGTTATATTAATAATGACATTTCCGATTGTTCAAATGGTCAGCTGTCGGGGGCCCCCTCAAAATGCGGGGCCCCAGGCAATTGTCTGCCTTGTCTGCCCTATTGCTACGCCTCTGATTACTGTTGTATATTTTGTTCTGGTTAATTAAAAAGAAGAAGAAGAAGAACCAGCACGCACTGCTTCGGTCTGCGCAGCATGAAGTCGAACACACCTACTGGTACCAGAACATGATCGCTGTATCACCTGACCACTGCAGATTCATTTTG